GTGGAGTTGTTGAGTCCTATAGTAACTTTATGTTTAATCTTTTGAGGAATTACCAAACTGTTTTCCAAAATGGCTGTACCATTTTATAGTCCCACCAGCAATGGATGAAGGTTCCAATTTTTCCACATATTCACCAACACATGTTTTTTTGTTCTTAGTGGATGTGAAGTGAGAACTCATTGCAGTTTTGATTTGCATTTTCCCGAATGGGTAATGATATTGAGCCTTATTTCACGTGCTTGTTGGCTATTTGTATATCTTCTTTGGAGAAATGTCTATTCAAATCTGTTGCCTACTTTTTTTTTTTTTTTAAGTTTTGCCCACTTTTTAATTGGGTTATTTGTCTTTTTATTGTTGAGTTGTAAGAGTCCTTTATATATTTTGGATGCTAGTATCTTATCAGATATATGATTTGTAAATATTTTCTTTGATTCTGTGGGTTGTCTTTTCAATTTCTTGATAAAGTGCTTGAAGCACAAAAGTGTTTAATTTTGGTTAAGTCAATTTATATATAATTTTCTTAGATCTAACGTCTAATCTGAGGCCATAAAGATTTACATCAATTTAAAAAAAATATTTACACCTGTGTTTTCTTCCAAGAGTTTTAGAGCACTGGCTGTTATATTTAGGTCTTTGATCCATTTTGAATTAATTTTTATATATGGTGTAAAGTAGGGATTTGAATTCATTCGTTTGCATATGGATATCCAATTGTCCCCGCACCATTTGCTGAAAAGACTTTTCTTTCCCCTTTGAGTTGTCTTGACACACTTGTTGAAACTCAATTGACTGTAAATGTGAGAGTTTATTTCCGGACTCGCAATTTTATTCCCCTGATTTAATATGTCTGTTTTTATGCCAGTGTCACATGATCTTGATTACTTTAGCATTTTGATAAAATTTGAAATTGGGAAGTTTGAGTTCTCCAGTTTTTCAAAATTGTTTTGTTTATTCTGGATCCCTTGAATTGCTTGTTAATTTCTGCAAAAAAAGGCAGCTGGAATTTTGATAGACATTGCGTTGGATCTGTAGATCAATTTGGGAAGTATTGCCATTTTAACAATACTAATAGAATAAATACAATCCATGAACACAGGATATCTTTCCATTTATTTAGCTCTTTAATTGCTTTCAATGGTGTTTTGTAGTTTTCAGTGTACAAGTCTTGTACTTTTGTTAAATTTATTTCTAAGTATTTTATTCTTTTGATGCTATTGTAAATATAATTGTTTTCTTAATTTCAGTTTAGATTCTTGTCTATTGATCTGGTTTCCAGCAACATTTCTGAACTCATTTATTAGTTCTAATAGTTTTTTTGTGGATTCCTTTTAATTTTCTATGTATAAGACGATGTCATCTACAAATAGAGTTTTACTTCTTTTCCGCTCTGGATGCCTGTTATTTCTTTTTCTTTCCAAATTGCCCTGGTGAGCACCTCCAGTACAATGCTGAATAGTAATGATGAGAATTGACATCCTTTTCTTATTGCTGATCTTAGGGGGAAAGCTTTCCATCTTTCACCATTAAGTATGATGTTAGCTGGAATTTTTCAGAGATGCCCTTCATCATGTTGGGGAAGTTTCCTTCTATTCTTGGTTTGTTGAGTGTTTTTGTCATGAATGGGTGTTTGATTTTGTTGAATGCTTTTTATGAATCTATTGAAATGATCAAGGAGCCCTAATAGGGGAAATGGTTAAGTGCTGGGTGCTAACCGAAAGGTTGATGGTTTGTACCTACCCGGCAGTTCCGTGGGAGAAAGACCTGGCAATCTGCTTTTGTAAAGATACAGCCAAAAAAACCCTATCGGGCAGTTCTACTCTTTCACGTGGGGTCACTGTGAGTCGGAAACAACTTGACAGCACCTAATAACAACATTGAAATGATTGTTTTTTTGTCTTTTGTTAACATAGTGCATTACATTTATTGATTTTCATTTGTTGAAAATATATGCTCTTTATTTCAACTGTAGAAATTTTACATTACAACATCAAAAAGTTATTATAAATGTACAACAAAAATTAACAAATATGAAATAAAATATTTTTGTCATTTAAGGTATGGGAGTGTCCCTGTGTTTCTGTGCAATGGTATAAATGGTTCAAGACCTAAGTACGTCTGTTTCCAGACAGTTTTTTTATTTTTTCAATATTTCACCTGTATTTTCTTTCCTTGTCCATTATAAAGCTAGTGAGGAGAGAAATGAAGTAAAAGTAGAATTGACCAAGAATTTGTGACTTGTTGAAAAACTGCATTATCTACTCCTAAATAATTAAAAAATAGTAATACTATGAGTCAGAAGTGACTCAGTGGGAACAGGCAATACTCTTACTGGGGGCAGTGGTAGTTCAGTGGTAGAATTCTCACCTTGCATGCATGAGACCTGAGTTTGATTCCCAGCCAGTGCACCTTAAGCACAGCCACTACCCGTCTGTCACCAGAGGCTTGCATGTTGCTAGGATGCTGAATAGGTTTCAGCAGAGCTTCCAGACTAAGACTAGGAGGAAACGCCTTGTCTTAGTTATCTAGTGCTGCTATGACAGAAATACCACAAGTGGATGTCTTTAACAAAGAGAAGTTTATTTCCTCACAGTAAAGTAGGCTAAAAGTCCAAATTCAGGACGTCAGCTCCAGGGGAACGCTTTCTCTCTCTCTTGGCCTTCTTATCAATCTTCCCCGGGACTAGAAGATTCTCCGCGCAGGGACCCTGGGTCCAGAGGACGTGCCCTGCTCCCAGCATTGCTTTCTTGGTGGTATGAGGTCCCCCTGTCTCTCTGCTGGCTTCTCTCTTATTTCAAAAGAGATTGCCTCAAGACACAATCCAATCTTGTAGATCGAGTCCTGTCTCACTAACACAACTGCCACCCATCCTCCTCGTTAACATCATAGAGGCAGGATTTACAACATATAGGAAAGTCACACAATACCAAGAATCATGTCCCAGCCAAATTGATACACACATTTTTAGAGGGACATAATTTAATCCATGACAGGCCTGGAGACCCACTTCTGAAAATCAGCCAGTAAAAACCCTGTGGATCACAACAGGCTAATCCCATTGTGCATGGCACTGCCATGAGTCTGGGGCTGACTCCATGGCAGCTAACAACAACAACACTACTATTACTAATTACTACTAATAATAAATGCTAATAAGAATCATTGGCAATAAATGCTACTGTGGGTAATGAAAAAGATCATTAGTGAGGCTAATACGTTTAGAAGAAACGCAGAAAACAATGGGGTGAAACTTCTTTAAAAGCAAAGAAATTAAAAGAGAATGATTTCCAGCTCTACAATTAGAAGTTTTTCTTAAACTCAGGCTAAGATTTAGAAGCATCTGGGGGCTTTAAGATGATTGGGGTGCTCTTAATCTTATAGCCTTTGTGGAACAATTCTACTTATATTTATTTTAAAATTATTGAGTAATTCAGTATTAATGTGAAAACTGGTATGTGCAAAAAAAAAAAAAAACCCAGTATGCTAGAAAAATAATCTATAAATGGGTTTTTATCAACATGAAAAGATTTTAAAAATTTGTATAGATTTAGCAAGATTATGTTAGACTGAATATTGGGAAAATAAACTAGGGTAGTATGTGAGGAACACGTATTTTTTTTATAAAAACAGAGGATAGAATAGTACATTTCAACTGCAGTGCCATCCCCTTCTGAGAGTATTGCCGTTACGTGATCCCACCACTGGGGATCAACTCCTCCAGAACATCGAATCCTACACACGTTCTATCAGTTCACAGCTAGAGCAGTTCAGAAATACATTATCGGGTCATTTATTCAAACGGCCTGATGAAACATTAACAAATGTTTAAAACTACTTTGGGAGCCCTGGTGCTGCAGTGGTTAAGCACTCGGCTGCTTACCAGAAGGTCAGCAGTTTGAATCCATCAGCTGCTCCTTGGAAACTCTGTGGGGCAGTTCTCTGTTGTGGAGGGTCACTGTGAGTTGAAACTGACTCAATGGCACATAACAACAACAACAGTGTTAGAAACAATCATGCTTCTAAAATCAAGTATAGTAATAGTTTTTGCATTTTACAACTTAAAAACAAGTTCCCTTGTCTCGTTTTTCCTCTTATAGTGCTTCTCCCTGGGACTTATCTCCTGCAAAAAGAACGTTAATACAGAAAATGCTGATTCTAAATTTACTTAATGTAGGTAATTCCAAATGTCATATGTATGTGTTTTCTTTTCCTACACCAAATAAAAATTATGCTAACTTGTCCAGGCTCATTATACATTACCCAGTTAAATATGACAAAGGGTTTCTAGCTTGAAAGATTTAGGTTGGATCTGGACAAATTTTGAGTGTTGGTAATTGATAATTGTAATACAAATCTAAATTAAAATTGTAGCACTTGTATGATATTTCTTTAGGTTATTCTATCATGGCACCAATTGAATCAATCAAACTGTGATACTTACATAAGTTTAAGAGTGTGGTAACGTTATGAGCTGATGGATTTTTAAAATCTGATCCCTTGGGCAGAGCTAAAATAATGAGTACTTCATGTTTGTTCAGTGCTATGATATTTTCCATAGTGCTGTTCAAAACAGCAATATTTAACTTGTTCCTCATAATATACCCATGAAGAAAAATGGTTTGTTATTGTCAGCACCCCCTTTTTCTAGATTTCTAAATTGGGGAAACTGAGGTATAGAGAGTTAAGTTACAGTGAATGATAAAGTTGGACTTCCAACCCAGGCTTCCCATCCCCCACTAAGTTCTGGAATTTATCTTATAATTCAAAACTTGTATCTGGATATCATTAGATGCAGATTAGCATGTGTATGGCCGTCTACTTCAGAAAATCAGCCAATGAAAACCCTGTGGATCACAATGGTTCAACTATCAACTGATCATGGGGATGATGCAGGATATGGTGCAGGATAGGGCAGCATTTTGTTCTGTTGTGCAAGGGGTTGGCATGAGTCTGGTGCTGACCTCACAGCAGCTAACAACAACAAGCACATGTCCATTGGGTAGTTTAAGAAATTATCCTGAATGCTAATTGATGTCATGCTGTTTGAATGCTTTATTTTCTAGAATAAATATGGCAGAGCTTTCTGAGCCAGAAGGACCAGTAGATTGGAAAGAACGATGCGTTGCTCTGGAGTCCCAGCTCATGAAGTTTAGAGTCCAAGCAAGCAAGATAAGAGAGCTCTTAGCAGAGAAGGTAAGCTTCACTCCCTAACCTTTGTTATTGAATGTCAGCTATTTGGGGCCTGTTTCATTTATATTAAATAATCTCAACACTTTTGGGGTCAAACATTATTAAAATAATGAAGACAATTTAACTTTTTGTCAGGCGTTTGACTCCATATTTGGCATATTCTTTCACCAGTATTAGAGTGGATTGGACATAAAACAAAAACATCCCTTTGTGGAATATGTGAGAATTGCATGTATTTGATGAATGTGGAGTTCATTCAATCCAGAGAGAAAGATACAATTTATTTGATTTTATTAGACAAATGTGACAGCATTTTGATCTACTGAATGTTTAGGAAAATCATTTTGAAGTGATTATAGAATAACGTTCCTTATTGACAGTAAAATGTATTTGTATTGTATTTGACTGTAAGCACCTATTTAGGAATTTGTATCGACTAACTGTATCTTACTATACTATCATCTGGGCTTTAATTATATGCTTCTCTTAGAAGTTCTAATCATGGAGTAAAAATTTCATTTATATTACTGGAATTTTCTTCTACAAATATGTATGTAAACTTTACAGATTCATTCATTCACCAGATATTCACTGAGGACTGATTATGTCCCGTAATCTTACTGCTGCAGTCACATCTGTAAACAGACAACCCATATTCCTATTTTCAGGGAACTTGGTTTATAGACTTGCACCGTCCGGTACAGTAGCCACCAGCTACATGTGGCTGTTGAGCACTTGAATGACGCTAATTCAAATTGAGATGTGTTGTAAGCATAACATACACAACAGATTTCAAAGATTCAGTAAGAAACCATGTAAAATACCTCAGTAATAATTTTTATATTACATGTTGAAATGATAATTTCTAGGTATTAGAGTAAATAAAAAATATTAAAACTAATTTCACTTACAGGGTTGCTGTGAGTCAGAATTGACTTGATGGCAACAGGTTTGGTTTTTTTGTTTCTTTTTACTTGTTTAATTTGAGTACTCACCAGACCCATTGCTGTCGAGTCTGTTCCAACTCATAGTGACCCTATAGAACAGAGTAGAACTACCCCATAGGATTTCCAAGACTGTAAATCTTTACGGAAGCAGACTGCCACATCTTTCTCTTGTGGAGTGGATGGTGGGTTCAAAGCACTGACCTTCAAGTTAGCAGCTGAGTGCTTAACCACTGTGCCACCAGGGCTCGTTAATTTGGGTACTAGAAAATTTTAAATTGCAGATGTAGCTGACATTATATTTCTATCGAATAACACTGTTCTAGATGGATGGATGAATGATATTTAGTTGTCATTCAGAGCTGATCAGAAGAATTTACAAGTGATTTCTTAAACTCTTGACTGCACAATCCTTTCAGGAAGGAGACTGATACAAGTACAGGTAGGCCCTGACTTACGACGTGTTCGAGTTACAATGAATCGTACTTACGAACTTTCTGCTTGTTTATTTTTTGGAGTACATATTATCATTAGTAATATGTATTATATAAAATATTGCAGCACATAATTTGCTGATGTTATCATTCTCAGATGTTCACTCGCAGATGTTCAAAGATAAGATTTATAAAGATAGTGATAATAAAATGCAATAATAATGAAAACTAAAAAAAAAAAAGAGATATTCGACTTATGTCAGAACCGACTTAACGACAGAGTCATCAGAACAGAACCTCATCGTAAGTTGGGGACTACCTGTACCACATCTGCAAAAAAGGTCTTAAATCTTCCTTCCATTGCTAGCTCTTATGGATTGAATTGTGTCCCCCAAAAATATGTGTTGTAAATCCTAACCCCTATATCGGTGGTTATAATCCCATTTGGGAATGGGTTTTCTGTGTTATGTTAGTATGGAAGAATTAGTGTAGGGTGTGTCTTAAGTCAGTCTCTTGAGATACAGTAAAACCTGTGAAAGTTGGAACCTGTATAAGGCAAAAACCTGTCAGAGAAGGAAAACTCAAATATTTTCCACTAAAATGAATGGTAGAAAAGTGATAGGACTGCACCCTTTCAGAGTCAGAAAACTTTCAAGACCTGGAAAAACAAGGCAGTCCCGTTGAGTTTTGGCTCTCACAGGTTTCACTGTATAAAAGAGCAGATGTAGCAGGCAAGCAGAGTTGAGGGGAGGTAGATGCCATGCCACATGGTCACCAAGGAATAGACGCTGAAAAGAGACAAGGACCTTCCCCCAGAGCCAACAGAGAGAAAAAGCTTTCACCTAGAGCTGGCACCCTGAGTTTGGACTTCTAGCCTCCAAAACAGTGAGAAAATAAATTTCTGTTAGTTAAAGCTACCCACTTGCGATAGATATTGCTGTTATAGCAGCACTAGATAACTGAGACACTAGCCAATAATTTCTTTCTTAGCACAGAAGTATTCTAATAAAATCCAGTTTAAACTTTCATATATATCATCTTAAATATCTGTGCTTTAACACCTTTTAGATGGAGAGACTAAAATTGTCCTACTCACTTTGGGTCAGAAGGTATTTAATACTTATTATTAAATAATAAGCTTTGTGAAATAAATCCCCAATATCAACTTGCTTTATTTATCGCTATTAGAATACAAATTATAGCTGAGAAAATCCCGGTTCGAGTATCTCCAAATCAGGGAAAATTATGCTAACTCAAAGTTAGCGGTTCCTGCTTTTTCTTTTGCTCCTCTCTCTATAAATATCATTTTCCAGGTTGTGCTGTGATTTGTCCAGTATTTTCCCCAGCCCCAACCACCCCATACAAATTTTTTTGTCATGGTCACCAATGATGTCCTTGTTGCTAAACCCCAGGGACACTCTCAGTTATTGACTTAACCTCTCAGCAGTTGATGTTGTTGACCACACTCTCCTTCTCAAAGTGTTCTCGGTTTCCTTGGCTTCTTCACTCTCCTGGTTTTCTTTATGGACGAAATAGACGTTATGCTTATTTGCATCCCAATTAATTAACCTTTAAATTCCAAATTTTAAGGCAATAATTATTTTCTTCTTTAGAAGACATGTTGCAACAACTTTCTCTATGTGTGACCATTTTTTTAAACTATAAGTCTCTTTTTCTCTGTAATTCAAATTGTAAGTAGCTTCTCTGATTATTAATCGGTATGTTATTAGATTTTATTTTTTTCTCTGTCAGTGAATGAGGATTGAGAGGAATATCATTTCAAAATTGCTGTTTTAGATGTTGTGTTTTTCTTCTTTTTGGTCTTCTATATTTTATATCTGTGACTTAAATCCTTTGCCCCAGCTAAGGGATGGAGCTATTCAGATGTGTTTTATACATTGTGCCAGGTGATTCATGGTTTCCTAGTAAATATACTCAAGACTAAAATGGGAATGAGGCTTTTCACAATATTTTCTGTTGTATTCCATTATGAAATATTTTTCTTTGAGTTAAAAAAAAATTTTTGGTACCCACTCATGATTTAATAAAACCCACCTAGGTATTTAATAAAAATAGCAACTATTTATTGAGTTGTGTGCTAACTACTTTATGATTCATTTAGTTCCTGTAGCAACTGTGTGAAATAATACATTTTATTGTCATTCTTTTACAGATTAGAACACTGATGCTTAGTATGTGCCGATAGCCCTTCTAAGAGCTTTATATACATTAACTCAATTTTAATCCTGGCAACAACCCTATGAAGGAGAGACTAATATTACTTGTATTTACACGGGAGGAAACTTCCACACCACCCATTGCCGTCGAGTCGATTCCAACTCATAGCCACCCTATAGGACAGAGTAGAACAGCCCCATAGGGTTCCCAAGGCTATAATCTTTATGGAAGCAGATTGCCACATCTTTCTCCCTCGAAGCAGCTGGTGGGTTCAAACTGCTGTCCTTTTGATTAGCAGCTGAGGGCTTAACCACCGGGCCACCAGAGCTCCTGGAGGAAACTTAGGCACAGAAAACGTGTTTAACTTGGCTCACTTTGCACTGAGAAGTAAATGATAGAGCCAATATGTGAACTCAGGCATTCTGTTTTTACAGCCTGAATGCTTAACCATCACCCTGTATGGCCTCTCTAATCTAGTTTTATTACCACATTCCTTGCTTTCTCTGATGTACATACCCACTCATCTATTTCGTCTTCTATTCAGCCATGCAATGTATAAATCCATCTCTGCTTGGGGGCAGGTATCTATGTGTGTTAGGATGTTTGTATGTATGTAGTGATAACAATTTATATAACATTACATATTTTTCAAAGCAAACCCTGTTGCATTGCTTCTGGGTGCCAACTCGAGTCAAATGCTGCATTCCAAGGCCAGTCTGCTCTCATCCGCAGCCTTTGGTTTTATGTTAGGACCAGTCTGCTCCAGGGCTTCTCCCTAATGGTTCTCCATACTTTTACCCCATATGGCCAAAGGCCCAAGGCGGAGGATTCTTGAGAGAATACGAATTTGATTCTCCAGCTCTCTTTGCCAGGAATTCTGGCCAGCTTGTCTTTACTGCTGCAGTTCTGGTTCTTAGTTCTGTTCTGTGGTGCTGGCTGTAGGCAGCTAACTCTAGGTGCCAGCTATGATTCCTCAGCCTCTCCTGCAACCATTAGCTTGTTTAAACCTCACAGCAATCCTGTGAGTAACTTATTATCCCCAGTTTTAAGGATGGTAACGTTAAGGCTGAGAGTATTTGACTATTATGCCCAGTATCCCACAGCTAACAAATAACAGAGCTGATATTAAACTTTCGATGTTTCAGACTTTTTTTGTGATGTAGCTAATAGAGTACCTGGCACAGAGAAGTAACTCTTACTATTATTTTCCTGTGTCTTTCTGAATGAACACATTGGTTAAGCATACAAGGCTATGACTTAAGTTTAATTACAGAGTGGTAGATATATTTCTGAATTTTTTAGGAAAAATGTGTGAGATGATCTCAGAGTGACTTTATGGATAAATATAGATTTCAATTATATATGCCATATATTTCTGGGAGATGGAGTCGGAGAATACGTGGGATTAAAAAAAAAACTATTTTTGCACCATTTTTTTTTTAACCATCATAATTTGTAAGTAACTTTGGATACTGAAGCTTGTGAAGAAAAAGGCCTTATTGAAGTTTTGGGCAAGCACTGCTGTAAGTGGGAGAGGTCTTTAGAGGAATTTAAGGAATGGTGTTGGAAATATCTCTAGTATGCCAAATATAAACTCTTCAGGGAAGCTGAGATTTAAGTAGTTTTCCTACTTTACAATATTACTAGTCAGTTTCATGAGTCAGAGAGAAGAAAGGGAAAGTATCTTTTTAAGTTGAAGTGAAATGTTGTTTCTAATGGGTTAGATTTTCAGTGAAAAGGAAAGGGTGAAGAATTTTCCCTGTTAGCATCAGCACAGCCCTCATAACCTAATGCTGCTCTTACCTGAAGCAGCAATATCATCTGGGATTTCCTGCCACATTGTCTTCCTTTTGTGAATATGATTCCCCTGAGGCAGCCTAGGATTGTCTCATAGGGAGAGAATCCTGGTCAGGATTCTAAAGTATCCTGACCTGAGAAGTCTCATGCTTTCACATTACAGTCCACTACAACACTAGGACCACCCTACTTAAACTGTATACCCCCTCAGTCACTCTTTATTCGATAGATGGATAGCTGCCTTTGAATTGACTCCAACTCTTGGCGACCTTATGTGCAACAGAATGAAATGTTCTGCGGTCCTACGTCATCCTCAGCTGTAAGCAGTATAATCTGGATTCAGATTTAGGTCTTCTGCCTCCTACTTCAGTGATCTCTCCACTTTTCCCTACATTAATATTTCAAGGACTAAAACCAAACCAAACCCATTGCCACTGAGTCGATTCTGACTAGCCTTTTTTTATTAAGAAAGCAAAAATGACATTTTGAATCTGTACTTTTAACTAACTCATTGGTTCAAAGGCATATGCTTACAGAGAAACAATTTTCCTGTCCAGCAAATTTAGCCTTTTTATTTATAACCTTGAGTTAAGCGCTTGGCTGCTAACTGACAGATCATCAGTTCAAATCCACCAGCAGCTCTGTAGTGATCTGCTCCTGTAAAGACTACAGCCTAGGAAACTGCCCTATGGAGTAGTTCTACTCTGTCCTACAGGGTTTGCCAACAGTTGGAATCAACTCAATGGCACACACCAACAATCTTTGTAACCTTGCATCGCAAGTCCTATGAAATAGTGTGTGTGTATGCTTTTTATGATGAAAGTGATAGTTTTTTTTTCTAAGATTACTGCTTGCTACTAAGCTTTTAGAATTGTACTGAGTGACTGGTATGTGCAAGTACAGTACTATGAAGAATATAAAGGTTACTCACATGAATTCTGCCTTCAACCAATTTATAGTGTAGTTGGGAAAATAATGTGAGATAGAAAGTAAGTGCCATAAGAGCATAAAAAGTTATTTGAATGGGGAACTATGGCACTGGTAAATAAGATGATACTATCCTTCACATCCATGGTGCTTTACAGATGACAAATGGCTTTAACATTTCATTCAATAATTTATAGTATATATTGAGTACCTACTATGAGTAAGGAGCCCTGGTGTCACAGTGGTTGAGAGCTTGGCTGTTAACTTAAAGGTCAGCAGTTCAAATCCACCAGACACTCCTTGGAAACCCTATGGGATAGCTTTACCTGTCCTGTAGGGTTGCTATGAGTTGGAATTGACTCAATGGCAACAGGTTTTTAACTCTGTGTAAAGCACTGTTATCATTAGAAATCAAACATTTCAGAAAGAGAAATCTGACAAGATATTTGTAGTCCTCTTAAACGATTCAGTCATTTTTTTTTTTTCCTTCCAGAAACAGAATTTATAGATCCACAACCTGCTTGTCAATTTTTCTGCTTCTCTTGGCAAACCCAACAATATTCAAAATTCAGGCTAAGGCTCCACATGTGCCAAAAATTGCCCTGAACATATTATATAGTTACATTGTAGAGGTGACAGCTGTCAGAATATTGCCAGTTGTGGAAGAACATGGTGTTGGCTTATGTCTGCCATTGGCCTTTTTGGTTTAAGCAATATCCTAGACAGAAGAGACAATGCTTGTCCAACTGCTTCTGCATAATGTCATACATAGCCCATAACAGTAACTCCTAATAAAATGCTTTTAGACAATAACACTTGCTCACTAAACATTTTAAATATTTTCATCAAAATGAAAGCTCATATGAGATCCAGAAAATGCACTTGGGAAATGGCTATTTACATTATCAAATTTTTGAAACTCCTTCCAGAGTCTAGATCAGTAGACTGCCTTTTCAACTTAAAAGGCATGCACAGGCAGTTAAATTGCCACTTGTGGTTACAGTTGAATACACCTACTCCTCATTTATCGACTATCTCGTTATCTGACATTTCGCATTTACAACGATAGTAAAAAATCTACTGTTTGCACATTAACGACATGTCTGGCAGTAATGAATGCTGAGGTGGAAGGCGAGCGTAACACTGGCTGTGATGGTTAAGGTTATGTGTCAGCTTGGCTGGGCCATGATTCTCAGTGGTTTGGCAGTTATGTAATTTGGCAGTTACGATGTAGTCATCCTCCATTTTTGTGATCTGATGTGGCCATCCTCCATTTTCACATAACATCGATTTTCACATACATCCTAGTCTTTGGAAACTAACCATGTCAATAAGTGAGCAGTGGGTGTATTCTACATCTTTGCTATCCAGTAAAAATATGTGAGCCACATATGTGATTTTAAAATTTCTAGTAGCTGTATTAATAAAAGACAAAAGATAAATTAATAGCATATTTTATTTAATACACTATATCCAAAATATAATTATTTCAACATAGTCTATCTAAAAAATGACTAATGAGGTATTTTAAGTTTTTTTATACTAAGTCTTCAAATAATACATGTATTATTGAATGTATTTTACATTTACACTGCATCTCAATTTGGAGTAGCCACATTTCAAGTGCTCAAAAGTCACATGTGGCACGTGGCTGTATTGGATAGCACAGTTCTACTATTAATTCCCAGCCTTCAGTCATTTTCTGAACCATTTGGGGGTAAGAAAACCAGTGCGTCATTGAAATGATGTCCAAACGCCCTAAGCCGGTACACGCCATACATCATTACTTCCATCTTTCTAGGAGTCAGTCCATTAAAAGTGATAGCCATATCTGAACAGCAGCCTTTTACTACTTGCTGAGGGTTATTAGACATTGCCTCTTTAATAAGGTGTACAATTGGTTCTGTATTAAATACATGTCTTCCTTCGGAATCCTCTGCATTTTCTGCAAGAACTCCTGCATATTTCAGGCAGATGGCCAGCTGCCTGTCTTCAGATAACTTCCAAAGGATACTTTGATCTTCACAGTTTTCAGAGTTGAGAACTCTGTTAAGTCTTTTCATGGACTCCATACTTAAGACAATGCCTCCTTCCATAGCTACGTATTCGAGGTCTCCAGATTTTATAGTATGGCCCAGATAGAATGGCTGGGTTGCATTCTTCTTAAACAAAAAATACTTTAAATTTTCAATGACAGCAAACGTAGTGGGACGTGCAAGAAAGAACCAATTGTAGTCATAGCCATACTTTTCAAAGACATATTTGTAGGTTTCCCTCATCTGTAGCCACATGTCATTTGTTTCTGTATTGAACAAACGACTGTTTTTAGTACTGTAGAACTCAGCTTTATCACAGTGTTTGGTCCAAGTGTCTTTCAGTATAGCCCGATAACTCTCATATTTGGATTCTCCAAGTATGATACAATAAACGCGGATACTTTTACTAAGCTCCATGCGTTGCACTTCCGACATTTTTAAGAAATCCTCTCTGTTAGGTGCGCGAAGGTGATGGTGCTCATGATCTTGAATTTTACCTTCGTGTGGAATGTTAATTTGGCCAAACAAAGTTATCAAAACACAGGAAATGCTCCCAAGCAGCATACCCTTAAAAAAGGATGCCTCGCCATCGGAAACCATTTTTGAGGCGTTGAGTACATACAGCTCGTACGGATCGAAGACTGCCTCGGATCAGCTCTCTTTTGCCCACGGCGCCCTGAGCCAGTAGCTGCTCTTCCTGTTGGGCCGCTCTAGCTGCCGGAGGCCGCTGCTCGGTGGTGTTCCCCGGCGTGTTGGCGGCTGGGGGCGGGACCCTGTTTGCTGTTACTTTGAGGTGGACCTGAAGTTCTGGGTGTCTCAAATACCAACCAACAATAAAATTGAAAATGTGCATAGATCAAGTCACAGATGGCTCTCGAGTTGTCCAAACTTCAACATACTTTACACAGAATATGAGAATACTGGAGTCCCTGGGTGGCGCAGACGGTTATGCGCTCGATTACTAATCAAAAGATTGGCAAGTGGAAACCCACCCAGAGGTGCCCCGGTAGAAAAGCTTGTGATCTACTTCCAAAAGGTCACAGTCTTGAAAACCCCATGGAGTGCAGCTCTGCTGTGAAACACGTGGGGTCTCCATGAGTCAGAATCCATAGGAGGACAAGTTTTTTTTTAATTTTTTTAATGAGAACACTGAGCAAAAAAAGAATTTGAGTTTTGCATCATGGTGTGTAGGTTCAGTACCTGGTACACATGTCTCTTATGTTAATTTGCATTGAGTCCTTTATATGGCTTTTGTTTATTTTACATATATTCATTTTAGTGTTTTCTCTCTGAACATTTTATTCTCTCTGAAACTTTTTAAAAAATACTCTGATACTTTTCAGTTCCCTGTGTTCTATGCTTTTGTGGATTCGTGTGTTTATATATGTGGGTTTAATCAGAGTTTCGTTTCATCAGTCTGTAAGGATGTAAAACCACCTAGAGTCTTGACTTAAACATACTGCCTACGGAGCTTATGGAGCCTTGGTGGTGCAGTGGTTAAGAGCCCGGCTGCTAACCAAAACATCGACAGTTTAAATCCACCAGCCGCTCCTTGGAAACCCTGTGGGGCAGTTCTCCTCTGTCCTATAGGGTCACTATGAGTCAGAATCGATTCTGACAGCAATGAGTTTTTTTAATGGAGCCTATGAGAACACACCACTTCCCTGATATGATTGTGACCTTTTGATCAACACATCAAACATGACATTTGAGGCCTTACTTTTCTTTTGGATTTATTATCCTTAGTATGTGTTGACCAGTAATTTCTAGTTTTCAATTCAGTGCAGAAAATTCCAGTGATGAATACTCACATGGTGTATATTACATTGATTAAAGATATTAAACTTTTGGCATTCTGTTTGATCAGGTTTTAAATATTCGAAGAGCATTTAGTGTGCTAATTGTATGTAATCCATATCCAGTAAAGTACACTAAATACTTTTAAAGAAATTTATAACATTGTGAGATCTTAAAGTCCCTTTTCACATGGAAAAATTTGAATTTTTGTTTTTATCCCACTCATCTTACAGATGCAGCAGCTTGAGAGACAAGTTATTGATGCTGAACGTCAAGCAGAAAAAGCTTTTCAACAGGTAGAGTATAATTTTAGTTGAAAAAATTTTCTGCCTCTACCAAAATATTGTTTTATCTAGAATAGGAGGATAGTTCTCAGCCTTCCTCTACATCTTCACGTTTTCATTGTTCATAAGCTTGATCCATGGAGAAAATGGAGAATCTATCCTGCCCATTAACAGAATTTCAAGAGGACAGGAGGCTTTCATAAGGAAGTTTCCTTTTTTGAGAAAATCAAATATGACCTTGATAATACTAACCGTATTTACATATAAGTATATATTAGGAAAAACATATAAAAATTTTACATAATATATTTACAGTTATCAGGGATAAAAGGCAAACTTTTAAATGGAAAAAAAAAACTGATATGAAGTACCCCAAAATTTTAAGAGAAGTTTGTTAAAATTGTGGAATTAGAAATGCTTGTTTTTTCCCCCTCTATATTTTCATAGTTTCTAGATTTTTTGTACTACTTATTAAATTTTTTTTTTTATCAGTTAACCCTTTCTGGGCTTCTGAATAATAAAATGAGTGGTTTGGATGGACAGCCCAGCCCTAAAGCTTGTCTAATAATCCTAAATCCATACCTTCACTGTTTAAAAAAGATCTCTGTCAGATTCAATAAAGAATTTTCAACAGTTTAGATATAAAATTACTTCTTTCAAGAAATTATATTAAATTTCTTATACTTCTTATAAATTTGTCATGTTTTTGCCCTTCAATTTGAATGTTACTAAATCTTGTTTTCACCTAAAAGATATGATTTTACACAGTAGATTGTCTTAGTGGCCTAACAAATTTCTAAATAAGCCAAATCTAATCTAATCCTTGATTTTCATAATTATACTTGAAAAGAAGATTTTAAAACTTTATCATGGAAAAACCATGGTGATAGTAGAGAAAATATCAACCATGTACAAAAGTAGTGAAAATAGTATAATGATCCCCCATCACCAACTTTAATAATTAGTCAATTCATGGTTAGTCTATACTTCCATTTACTTTTTTCCTCCACCTACTTCTACACTAAGGAGCCCTGGTGGCAAGGTGGTTAAGTGCTAAGGTCATGGGTTTGAACCCACCAACTGCTCCAGCGGAATAAAGATGTGGCAGTTTGCTTCTGTAAAGATTACAGCCTTGGAAACTCTATGGGCAGTTCTACTCTTTCCTATAGGGTTAGCTGTGAGTCAGAGCCAACTGGACAGCAATGGATTTGTTCCCCCCCCGCTTTTTGGTTTTACCCCATAGTGGATTATTTTAAAGCAAATCCCAGGCATCATATCATTTCATCCATGAGTGTTTTAGCAATTAATCTAAAAGTATAGACTTTAAATGATCATAACAACAGTACCATCATCACAACAAAAAAAATTACCAATCATTCTTCCATCTGTCAGAGATCTAATCAGTATTCAAATATCCCCAGATATCTCATAAATGCTTTTTGTTTTTCAATTGAGGTAAAATTCACATAAAATAAAATTAACCATTTTATAGTGAACAGCTCAGTGGCATTCAGTACATTTACAATGTTGTGCAACCATCACTTCTATCTAGTTTCATACCCATTAGTGAAACCCCATACCCATTAAGCAGTTACTCCTCACTTCCCCCTCCCCCAGTCCCTGGAAACCACCAGTCTGCTCTCTGTCTGTATGTATTTACCTATCCTGGATGTTTCATAAAAATAGAATAATACAGTGTCTGACTTTTTGTGTCTGGCTTCTTTCACTTAGCCTAATGTTTTCAAGGTTCGTCTATGATGTGTAGCATGTATCAGGACTTCATTCTTTTTTATAACTGAATAATATTCCATTGTATATATACACTACAAATTGTTTATCTATTCATCCATGGACATTTGGGCTGTTTCTGCCTTTTGGCTGTTGTGCTTGTCCTCAGCGTGTACATGTATTTATTTTAGAACCTATTTTTAATTCTTTGGGGCATATACTGCTTTTTTTTTTCATTGTCGGTTTGTTCAAATCAGGACCTAAACAAGATTGGCACATTGCGTTTGGCTCTTAAACTCTTTTAATCTACAGGGTCTCCCTCCTTTTTTCTTTCTTTTTTTCCCTACAATTTGTTTGTTGAAGAAATGGAGTTATTTTTCCTCTAAAGTTTTTCCACATACTGGATTTCGTTGAATGTGTCCCCATAATACTATTAAACATGTTCCTCTATGCCTTTATTTCCTGTAAGGTATAGTTAGATCTGAAAACTTGTTTGGGTTGTGTTTTGATTCCTTCTTTTTTTTTTTTTGGCTAGATTAGTTCTTAGGTAGTATTGTGTGCTTCCATCAAGAGGTACATAATATCTAGTTATCTCTTTTTGTGATGTTAGCAGCCACTGAAGATCTTGTTTAGATCCATTATTTCATCAAGAATGTTACTACTCTTTAAAAACTTTTTTAAAAAATCAAGATACAATATACACAACAGTAAAGTATACTAATCTTTAAGTACTGATGAAAATTTATCTAGGTACACACCTGCATAACACTTTATATAGAATGTTTCATAACCCCAGAAAATTCACTTTTGCTCCTTTCAAGTCAGTACCCCCATTCTACCAAAGATAATTCTGACTTCTATCACTGTGGATTGATTTTGCTTGTTCTTGATTAATGTACTATTTGCTGTTCTGGCTTCTTTAGCTTAAAATTATGTCTAGGAAATTCCTCCATGTTGACATGTGTATCAGTAGTTCATTCTTTTTAGAAAAGTATTGTTACTATTGAGTAGTACTGTGGTTATACCTCAGTTTTTATCCATTCATCTGTTGATAGACACGTCGTTTGCTTTCAAGTAAAGCTGCTACAGACATACTTATGTTAAGATGGATATGTGTTCTTGTTTTTCTTGGGTATATACCTAGAAGTAGAATTGCTAGATTCTAGGATGAGCAAATCTTTCCTTTATAGATGTTGCCAAATAGCTTTCCAAAATGGATGTACAGGTTGCATTCCTCCTGGCAGCATGTAAGAATTCCAGTTGCTCCCACATCCTTGTCAACACTTGGCATTGTTAGTCTTTTTTAATTTTAGCCACTTTGGCAAAGTTAATGCTGAAAAGAATGCTAATCTAAATTCTCCTCATTGACTTAACATACAGTTTTATATAAAACTTACGTGTACACCAAACATACCATTTATATAGTTTGAATATAGCTTGATCAGAACTTATTTTTTAATATCTAGTAGTGGTTCCTACATAGAAAAATAAAGGAAGGGACTCTCTGAGCAAATTTTTCTTATTGTAAAATGCTTCCAGTGAGTCTGCCAAGACAAGTCACGATGAGTGTGGAATATAACATAAGAGAAAACCAATCTAAGGAGATTGTAGAAGTTTCCCAGAAACTTGTGGACAAGGAAAATTTCAAGATTAATTCTAACCCAGCTCTTCTCTAGGGTACTTCTTGTTGTTGTTAGCTGCCGTTGAGTTGGCCCCTGACTCATGGTGACCCGATGTGTCACAGAGTAGAACTGCTCCATAGGGTTTTTTTTTTACTGTAATCTTTAGCATAATGTAGTATTCTAAACACATAGAATTAAAGTCCAGAGTTTGAGGTAAGAAGTTTCATTCTTTTTTTCTTTTCTTCTTTTTTTTGGGTGGGGAGGAGAGGAGGCTGAAGATAGAGGAGGAATATGGGGCCAAATATTGGCGAGTTAAAGTTTGTACAGAGAAAGAGAAATAAAGACGAATTCATGTTTTTCTGCCTTGGGAACAGAGTTAAAATTTTAACTGGGCTTAAATCCAAACTCTACCACTTATTTGACTGGAAAAGTTTCTTAATGTCTCTGGTCTCAGTTTTCTCACTTATAAAATGGAGCTAATATTTGCAGAGGCTTACCTACAAGGTTGCTATGAGTCGGATTCAACTTGACAGCAATGGTTTTTTTTTTTTGTCTTTTTTTAACAGCTTCTGTATTGTGTAAAGGCTTGTAGCATAGTGAGTAAGAATGCAGACTCTGGAGGCAAAGTGCCTGGATTCAAGTCAGCCTCCATCTCTTACCACCTGTTTGACCTAGCCTTTCGGGGTGTCAGTTTTCTTTCTTGTTGTGCTTTAGGTAAATGGGCCTCAGTTTTCTCTCTGTAAAATGGAGTACAATCTAATTGCTGTCTAATAGAGTTGTTTGGAAATTGAATAGGTTACTATGAATAAAGTGATTAGAACAGTGCCTGGCACATAGACATCCTATAGGTGTTAGCTGTTATGAAGATTGAAACTAATTTCAGTAAACTTCCTGGCATAGAGTCAGCCCTCAATAAATGATGGTGGTGGTAGAAGTATTAGTACTAATGGTAAGGATCTATGCTGTGCCTAGTGTTTTATATTTTTTAGCTGATAGTGCCAAATAGTGATATCCCACTGGTACCTATAAAAAGGCAATAATTAACAGTAAAACCACAAAAAGCTCACTTACGGTTTATGCAAGACTCTTCTGTTTATGTCATTCTCTGTCATCCTTTGCCAAATGTCTTTGTCTTTTTTCATTAGTGGGCCCTGTATGTATACAGGCAGTCCCTGGATTACGAATGAGATCTGTTCCTAACTGTGTCTTTAAGTTGAATTTGTAGGTAAATCAGAACAGGTGCATACCATTCTTATTTAGCCTTACTTTAGTGCAAGAAAAGGCTCGAAGCCTTTTCAATGATTTCAAAGCTGCGTGTGCAGCAAGCGAAGGTGGTTGTGATGAAGAACTTGTGAGTAGGGGTTGGTTCAGTCATCTCAAAGTGAGGGCAAATTTATATAACATAAAGGGCCAGTAGGAGTTGTCCAGAAGTCAGACGTAACCGGGACTGCCTGTGTTCCTGTTTAGCTGCACACCGTGCAGCACACATCTGTCAGTTGTCTACCTCTCTGACTTTGATGTCCCCCTCCTTATCTTTCCCTTTCTGACTTTGACCTTTCCTCTTGAAATCTCTGTTTACCCCTCTGTGCATGGCTGTCTCTACATGATCTCTGTGCGTTCTTCGCCTTCCTTTTCCTTCCTTTTCCTTCCTTTTCCTTCCTTTTCCTTCCTTTTCCTTCCTTTTCCTTCCTTTTCCTTCCTTTCTCTTCCTTAACTGCCCGTATTACAGAAAAGAAAGAAATTGAGAATGGTTTTGTTTTGCCTTTCCTTCATTTAAAATTCCTAATTCACATATGCAACAAATTTGTTTACCTTTGAAAATTAAATTAAGTATTTTTTTAATTGTGATTTTCAAATAATTTTTTTTTTCTTTGAGTCACTGCATCTTGAGAGAAGAAAAGAATCCCCACTCCAAATTCAAAGAAAGTAAACCATGGAGGTTTGCAGCCATCAGGGCCCAGCCACTGATCTTGATGAGTTTAAAAGGAAGAACTTACTTGAAGTTGTCATTTTTATATCAGCTTTAAAGTTATTTAATTCCATGTGCTAGGTTTTTAAGCAAAAAGACACCATGATTGGTCATTTTAGACATACTCCCTTAAAGCAAAACCAAAAATAAAATGAGAATTATGAGAATTGCAAGTCTCCCAGAATTTCTAAAATCTGTAGTTATTTCTCTTTATCACAAAACTTTACATTTATTCAGTACCGATTTTGTTATGCTTCAGAAGAAATTTTTTCTTGAATACCTCATAGTGAACCTAAAAGTTAACAAGAATCATAAACAGAGAGCAAATGAATTCTCATGTACTGATTATGTCACCTTTTTTGGCTTTTGCAAGACTAAGTAAATAGTATTAACTTAGAGTAACTGAATCCTTTGCTATCTTTAACAGTTTTCACGGGACTGTGGCCTATCTGCTGTTTATGTTGCATAAATTCAGCTTGTCCTTTCTCATTGAACCATATCCTGAGACCTAAACAATTATATTTATATTAACCAAAAAGGAATGTTTCACCACGAAAAGCAGTAGTCAGTTGAAACCAGCTCAACTCTGCCCTTCAGTTTTGTATGTTTTTCTCCTGTTTACTAAGGAGTGGTACCACCTCCATAACCATAAACTAAGTTGTCTAGAAAAAAAGATCACACGTTGTGCCAGATAAGACTTGGCGATCTTTATACTTAATGTTGTAGTATAATACTTTTTTTTATTGTTGTTGCTCACAGCTTTGAAAGCAGTCTGTCCAAATCAACCCAGCGCTACTTATTTCTCTCTTGTGAGGTAGAAATGCAGCCAGGAGCATATTTGAGAGATACTAAGACACAGGATTCATTCTCAAGTATCTGATTAGGTGTATACCCTAGTCTATTACACTGATTTGTGCTAACTGAAGAGGGGTAGAGAATTTCTCCTGTAGAAAGAAGTGTGTGTTTTCATCCTTTCCTTCTGGGCTCAATCTCTTGCTTCTGTTTGATTCAGAAGTTGAAGGAATTGGATTTAAAGTTCACAATGTTAATTCTAATATGTAGGCTAATCTGCCTTTCTGTAAAGTTGGTTGGTAGTGTCCAGTCATTTTTTATTCTTGATAAATTATTACTGCCCGATCGTCCTAGTATCTAGGACTTTATAATGCTTTTGCTACATAAGGCCCATCTTCATTACATAGAAAGCTGCTTTATCCAATGCCATTCTTTTTCACCTTCAGGGAAGATGAGTTCTGGCTCTACTGCATACATTACTGAGCACTTCGTCAAAATAATTGTGATTAGAATGATTAATTAATTTGCAGTAAATTTTAAGCAACTGAAAAATAGTCTGGGATTCAAATACTCTTTAACAATTCATTCTGTTTCGGAACTATCAGGAATCTTTGTCACGCTATTGCAGCGTACATGTAGAAATTGAAACTTTAAACCTCTACTCAAAAGTACAGTCATATCTTCATTACCTGGAATGGGAAAGGAAGAGATGAGATTGGAAATGGGAAGAAGGAAGTAGTGATATGAGGAAGAGTCCAGGAAAAACCAGGCACAAACTTCCACATGTCCTTTTCCAGTGGAGCAGTGCTTATTTCTCCCAGCAATGATATGTGGCAATATATATAAAGTATTACCAACCAGGGAAGCTCACCCAAGCATTGGTGTCCAGGGTTTTTATTGGGGGTCAGTCACATATGCATGGGGTAGCTGCGTGACTGAGCTTAGCTACTCAATCTCCATCCCCTACAGAGTCAAACTGATACATAGCCTAGGGTCCCAGGTGAACAAAAACAGGTGTTCACTATAAGTTAAACATTGTTAGCTTAAACTATCTGTCATGGCTCAAGGTCTCAGGTGTACAAAGACAATCTTATCAGGCAGAATATTCCAGAAGCTCAGAGGCTGTCTCCTAGGAGCTGATCAAGGGCTAGTCCTTTCTTTGGAATGCACAGTGTGTGAGTACCCCAAGCTTGCTCCTTTACTGCACAGGAGCATAAGGACCTCAGGATCTGCAAGGCTTTGGGGAAATGGTGAGGAGTATGTTGAGGGGGGTGGATGCAGCCAGAGGCTGTCCTAGAAAATAAGGAGAAAGGCTAGCCTAAAAGTGCAGAGCATCCCACACTGGAGGGTATCTGTGCATAGACTAACAACCTCTGTTAAATAGCTAAAGCTATTGAACACCAATTTGCATTCAGAGGAGTGTGTTATTGGCCAGTCTTTGAGTAGTTAAAGTTATTATGTGGGTCAGGTTGAATAAATGGAAAAAGAACTGGGCTGTTAGTTTCAATTACTTGTGGTAATGTATTTTAAAAGGCTGCTTAATTTTTCTTTAGGCCTCTTAGCTTTTGTATAGACCTTTTATTCATACTTATTTCTAAGGAAGGCTGGTGAGTCCTGTGGAACTTGATTCTAACACAGTAAGTTGGTAAATAAGTTGTCTGTAACTACTTTGTGATCTCTCACCCTAAGAGATTGTGCTATGTTTGCCAATATTTGTCTTGCCCAGGAAAGTTGTTTATCTAAAAGTAATGGTCGAATTAAAAAATTGCACTTGGCAGAGATGCATCCCAGGAGCTCTGACTGTCGCATTCATTCATAAAATGCGAACACCTTTCCAATTGAACATGTTTTTGAGAGAAGAGTACTCCCCAAACATAGTTTTCTATGAGTATAGACTTTTTCTAAGCAATAATAGGATAGTTTTACATGGCAACCGGCTATCTGTAGGGTGGCTTGTTCTGACTTAATAAGCCTGAAAATGTAGGTCTGGTAATATTTATTTCTATTCTTACTCAATTCCTTTTCTTTTTTTTGAGGTTTATCTTCTCTGACTTTACCCCCAGAGGAGAACTACTTCCACAGCTACTGCATGTCCTGTGTGCAGGTGGCTATCCCATCTTAAGACTGACCCTTGGTATTTACTGTCCAGCTCTCTGTCCTGCCCTGGCTGTTTTTCATGACACCATCCCTGATGCAGACCTCTGTCCTTGACCTCTTGACCGGCACTGGGAAGTCCACTCCATTAGTTAATCTGTCTTGACTTAAAATTATCATTTGAATAGTAGAATAACTTCTTTCTCCTATTTTTGCTCTGCGCTTGTTTTGATAATTTTCCAGTGATGTGGGTGGTATTTATATAGGACAGTTTTGGCATCTTTACATTTATACAGTGTATTCATAGGTGAAACGTGGTATTCATGGTTTTAAAAACAAAACACAACCGAAACTAACCTTAACACCTTTCTTCTGCAAGCTCTCATTAGTCACATGTTTTTTTTGAAACTTAAGTAAGGATTCATTGTGATTTTTCAGATGTCTTTTTAATATTTTAAGATTTTTCATTTTTACTAATAACCTTTAATTTCTCAAATGCTTTTACATTGTTTTTCTTCTTTGCATCCCATAATCTAAAACATTGCTAAAATCACATTCTTACCTATTTGGAGTATATGGAAGAAAAGTCTTAATATTATATACAGTTCCCAATAGTTTCTTTTCTTTCCTACTCTGTTGAGGGTTCTAATTCACTATACTTATCCACAGTCAGGGATCAGGTTTGTGATTCACAGAAAGGTGAGGTGAAAGTAAGAACTAAAAGGTGGTAATAGTAAAATCTAAATTTTAATATGAGTGAAATAGACTTACATAATCAGTGTAGGTCAGCAAACACAATAGGCATATATGCCCTTCCAAGTCTTAAGGTGACTTAAATTTTAAGTCCTAAGGTATTCAGTGGATATTTGTTAGATGAGTAAAGCAGTGAACCCTCTCCTGCCTGTATTTTGACTCTCATTGCCTATATGTCTTTTGGCTCTCAAATTTTTTTATGATTCCTTTATTTTGAGCTTTAAAGTTCGAAAGGTTTTCCTTTTCCTTTCCATCATGTCTGTGTTTCTTTTTCATCTCTTAAGCGCCCCCCCCATTTCTTCCCCCAAAATGCTTTATTATGACAGGTCATCCAATCTGAGTCATATCTCACCACTCACGTCTCTCTACTTTCTATTTCTACTTTGTTTAAAATATGAGTAGATAAAGGGTAGAAACTTCCTGTGTTTCTCTGCTTTTATAAAACACTGCATATTCCCCTTGCTCTTACAGACATGTATGTTACTTTCAGCGATAGCAGTGTCCTGATACTCACATACTCTTAGATACAAATTTAACACCCCTTTGTAAAATAATCTTCAGACTTTATGATGATTGAATATATTAAAACTGACTGTTTAATACTTTTCTTTTATGACAATACCTTTTAGGAATCTATATAATGTTAAAGTAAAACTTTTGAGTTTAATACTGTGATAAATTAAGTACAAGCACAATTTTAAATTTTATCCTCTGAATTTAGGTACAAGTTATGGAAGAGAAATTAAAAGCAGCTAATATTCAAACCAGTGAATCAGAGACTAGGTTGTATAAAAAGTGCCAAGATCTGGAGACCCTAATACAGGAAAAAGATGACATCATTCATGATTTGGAGCTGCAGCTTGAAGAGCAGGTTAGGAAGAATTTGATCATTAAAGGGTTCTGAATGTGTGCATTCATTTATGTGTAGTCACAGAGATTTAAAACAGAGAGCCTAAATTTCTGAATTTTGGTGAGAAATCTTATTTGGTCAGCGTGTAGAATTGCATCAGACTTGTTGGTGAAAGGTGCAAGGAAAATGGCATTGACTTTTCTTGTTAAATCTTAAGTGATTCCAAGGCAAGCTCTAACACTTTTTGCTTGTGACTGTGCTCCGTAACATTTAAACTTTAGAGTCTGAGTGCAGATTTTTAAGTTGAAAACATTTATATCTGTAAAATCTTTTAAACAGATTTTTGCTTTAGATTGTTAGGATATTGGAAATGTTTTGTAGAACATTATATTTTAAATATATGTTTGATACTAATCTTGCTTAGAAAAAAGTATGCTTAGAAAAGGTATACACTGTTTTAAAGTCATTTTATTGGCAAGCATAGTGTTTAATTTATTTTAAAATTGCCTGAGGGTTATTTACCTAAATGATCACAGCATCATTTAAATACAACCACTATGATATTGTTTTGCTAAATATGTTAAATTTTTTGTTTATTTTTAGCATTTGTTTTCCATTTCTCTGGGGATCACTGTTTCTTTAGCTCAGTGTTTTTCAGCTTTTCACCTCCCCTGCCCCCACCCACTGGGATTTATATGATAGTCACATTCTCAGCAGTTTTGTGACCATAACCAGATGTTGTTGTTGTCATTGTTAGTTGCCGTTGAGTTAGTTCCAACTCATGGCAACCCCATGTGTGCAGAGTAGAACTGCTCCATGGGGTTGCTAAAAAACCTAAGCACCAGAAGAGATTCTCATTCTCTCCCTAACCCGATTGGCCCCTATTCTACTGCTCTAAACCCTAGACCATTTCCAGAAATAGTTTATTTTGTTGATAAATTCAGTGGATTGATTTCAGTATTTGAACTTGGAGAGAAAAAATAGTAACTCTTAAAACTAGAAATGCTTGCATATGCCTTTATGGTTTATTATTATATCTGCTGGATAATTTTTTTCATTTTTTATTCTGTCTGGTAATTTGAAGATAGATGTATTAACTTGGACATAGGTTTTAAGTGGATTTTCTTTTTTTTACCAATGATGTAACATTTCCAGATCAGTAAGCTTATATTTGAACAACACTAAACCAACTGCTAATGTTATTTCAGAAACAAATAAGAATACAAGAAGCTAAAATAATAGAAGAAAAAGCAGCTAAGATCAAAGAATGGGTAACAGTTAAGTTAAATGAGGTATTTATTGCTATCATTTGCTTCTCCTTTGCCTTTTTCTTCTTTTGAATAGTAGATAAGTCATTAGAATCTATGATCATTCTGAGTGAAACCAAATTCTGATCAGTTGGTGGTGCTGCTGTCTTTTGGATATTAGAAATATTTAGAACTATTCAATGAATTTCTAAAATTAAAAACATTGAAAGACTCATGATAATCAGTGTAAATAGTCTTGTTCCAATTAGTTAATTTAAGATAAATATAGAACATATGTCTATACCTCATAAGATGAATGTTTTTGGCATATGAGAAGTATATATCATTGACTTTATATAGCAGATTAAATTCTGGAAATAGTTTTGGGTTAAAATAATTTTACAGTGGAAAAAGTACAGGGAGTGAAATCATTTAAAACTCTTAGCTCTGAAAAAAATAAATATTGAAGCCATAATTATCTAGGTTGATAGCCTTTGCTGATATATTCCTCTAATATTTGCTCATCATTTCCTTTGTATTTTGCTTACATCTAGAGCAACTATGTATTAACATTTTCTAAGTATAATAATTTACTAGTACATTTTAGAGGTGTTATCCTTGTATAAAAGGTTACCATTATGTTCTTTTAGCTGGAATTGGAGAATCAGAATCTTCGTTTGATCAACCAAAACCAAACTGAAGAAATAAGAACAATACAGGCAAAACTACAAGGTACTAATACTTTGACTATGGTAGCTTAGTTAGTTAGATTTGGCTATATAGAATTGTGCTATTTTTTGCTGGTGTTTTAGACATAATTATGAATATCATAGAAGTTATTATCATGTAATGAGAGAGAATTTCTAAACAAACCCAAACTCCTACACCCAAGTGAATGTTGGGTCTATAAGTGGAAGGCACAACGAGACAGGACTGATGTGCAGATCCACCAAAGCGGTGGGGCCAACGAAGAGGCTCCCATGTTCCCCAGCTGTAGGTCATTCCAGGAGAGTGTTTTCATCTGTGGAATCATTGAGCCAAGGAAGATAGATGAAAGCTATAGTTAGAGGAAGAGCCAGGGAAAGTAGCTGGATTGTTTGTTTATCAGTCTGGAGGAGCAGGGTCAGGTTGCAAGTGGAGGATGGGCAGCAAAGATATAGCAAGGGAGATCAAGAGATTGGAAGAAAGAACACAGTAGGAGGCTGAGTGACAGAAGCTGAGCATCTGTAGCACTTCAGGCTCCTCCCTTTGTTGACTGATCACCCGTTTATCAACTGGGCTCAACTGTGAAGTAGAAATAATTTTGCCCTCTTGACCTGGACCTGTTTTGCCACTCTATTGCATGTGAGTACCCTGCTGAGTGCTTTTTTTAGACCAATTTACACGTACGTGCAGCCCCTAGACAACACTGGTCCCTGTTGAAATGCAGTCTTCTTCCCAGCCTCAGTCTAGTGCTATGGGATGGGCAGATAGAGTTTCGAAGCATGGGGTTCCACTGAGAGGCAAGTGTGAATGTTGGGGGGAAGGATGCAGCCAGATATTATATGGTCTAGAAGTCTATGTTGCTGAAACTCTTCAATCAGGAAAAGTTTACTCTGTTTGCTGCCCAAGACAAGATATAAAGAAGGCTGTCTTTGAGGAAATTCTGCCACCACAGGAATGATGTAAAAGTCTTGAGAATGGGGTACGTCTGTATTAAAATCCAGAGACTTTGAAGTCCAGGAACGTCTTAGTCATCTACTGTTACTATAACAGAAATACCACAAGTGGATGGCTTTAACAAAGAGTTTATTCTCTCACAGTCCAGTAGGCTAGAAGTCCGAATTCAGGGCACCGGCTTCAGGGGAGGCCTTTCTGTCTCTGTCAGCTCTGGAGGAAGGTCCTTGTGATGCATCTGTCTTCCCTTGGTCTGGGAACATCACAGTGCAGGAACCTCAGGTCAAAAGGACGTGCTCTGCTCCCAGCGCTGCTTTCTTGGTGGTATGAGGTCCCCAACACTCTACTTGCTTCCGTTTCCTTTTATCTCTTACAAGATAAAAGGTGGTGCAGGCCACATCCCAGGGAAACTCCCTTAACATTGGATCAGGGATGTGACCTGAGCAAGGGTTTTACATCCCACCCTAATCCTCTTTAACCACAGGCAGAGATTATGATTTATAACACATAGGAAAATCACAAAATGGAGGACGACCACACAATACTGGAAATCATGGCCTAACCAAGTTGACACATATTTTTTGGGACACAATTCAATCCATGACAAGGGGTAAAAGAGTTTATCAAGAAATATAGGCTCTTTTTTATTTTCAAGACTGGTTCTTAGCCTGGACATAGAACCTCCATGGAATATATTCATGTCATGGTAGCCCCAGAGCCACCAAAAGCTCCTGGAGACCTGGTGGAGGTTCCTGTAGTTTTCTGATATGGAAAAAAATATGTTATATAACCAGAGTACTTATGTCAGCAGTTCTAGGGGATAATCGGGAGGGGATAATGGAAGCCCATTTTATCGTATGGCCTTCAGTACTCCAGAGGTCTACCAGATGTTTGTGTATTATTACAACTTTGTTGAGGTAAAATTAATATACAATTTTACATATAAACACATATTTAAAGTGTACAATTTGATGAGTTTTGACAGATGTATGTAGCTATGATACCATCATCACATTCATGATAATAAACATATCCTTCACTCCCAAAAGTTTCTTCCTGCCCTTTTGTGAACTCTCCTCCCTGCCTGCTCGCCCTGGTCCATAGGCAACCACTGATCTGCTCTTTGTCACTGTTAGTTTGTACTTTCTAGAATTTTATGTAAATGGAATTGTGCAGTGTGTACTCTTTGACTTCTTTCACTCAGTATAATTATTTTGAGATACATCCATGTTACTGCATGTATCAATAGTTTATTCTTATTGCTGAGTATTATTTCATTATATGGATATGTCATAATTTGTTTATTCATTCAACTGCTGGTGGACATTTGGGTTTTTTCCAGGTTTTGGCTACTACAGCTGCTGTGAACATTTGTGTATAAGTCTTTGTGTAGAGATATGCTTTTATTTGTCTTGAGTAAGTATCTAGCAGTTGAATAACTGTGTCCTAAAGTATATGTTCAACTTTTTTTAAGAAAAAACTACCTATTTTACAAAGTAGTTGCACCATTTTTACATTCATACCAGCAGGGTATGAGAGTTCTAGTTGCTGTACATCCTCACCAGCACATGGTATGGTCAGTCTTTTTAATTTTAGCCATTTTAGTGGGTGGAATCCTTTGGTGGCACAGATGGTTAAGTACTTGGCTGCTAACCGAGAGATTGGTAGCTTGGGTCTACCCAGAGGCACCTCTAAAAAAGACCTGGCGATCTACTTCTGAAAAATCAGCCATTGGAAACCCTGTGGAGCACAGTTCTACTGTGACACACGAGGTCGCCGTGAGTTGAAATTGACTTGATGGCAGCTGGTGTGGTAGTGAGTGGGTATGTACTGGTGTCTAATTGTGGTTTTTATTTGTATTTGCCTAGTGCTGATGATGTCAAGCCATCTTTTCATGTGTTAATCTATTCTTTTTCTAAGTTATTTTGGCTATTCTTGGCCCTTTCATTTATATACAGATTTTAGAAATAGCTCGCTGATTTCTACAAAAGAGCTTGAAGCTTGCTGGGGTTTTCACTGGGATTGCATTGAATCTTGATTTGATTAACGGTCTTGCAGAAGTTCAAGGGAGGAAGTCATCGACTGTCTCCACACCAAAGCTTTCGGAAGGCCAGCGCCTAAGCAGTTTGACCTTTGGGTGCTTTTCATCCCGAGCAAGGAGTCCGCCTCAAGTAATAAAATCTGAGGAAGTGAGCAAGCTGTCATCTAAGGAGCCTGAGTTCACTGAAGGAAAAGACATAGAAGGTATTTACAGACTATAAGAATTTACTTTGGAATTGTTTTAAAGGAAAGGTCATTTGCTAGACTTAATCCAAATAGTGCTTAATTTTACTTATTTTTTTTCTTGACAACTTGATGTTTTATGAGAATATTTCTAAAGGGCAAAACAGCATTTAACTTTGGGTATCTAGTTATTTTGTGTTTTCTGGAAGTCTTTGCCATTGAGGTATAGGAGAAACTGATTTTTCTCCTCTTAATGCTTTTTCTGCGCTAGGTGGCAGTGATATTTAGAATCAAAAAGTTTGCAGTCTTACCTCCAAGGTGCTTGTTAAAGCTGAGTTTCAATCAAAACTATGGATATTCTATTCATTATTTATATAAAATTAAAAAAGTAATTTATTATGAGGCATGAAATTAAATATGGCACAGCAAACATAAAGAAAATGAACAGCAAGGGAAAATTTAGTGCCTTTCTTAGTAAATATAACTGCTTTGGCTTTCCTGTTATTCTTTCAGAGGGGGAAGTATTTGCCTAGATGTTTAAACCCTTGGCCTGTATGCAGCTTTCTACATATGTTTTAGTCTTAAAGCCCCTCTAAATTTTATGTGAGTGTGCACCTATTGGCTTTGCCACCTCTAGTGTGATCTCTTTTGTTTGACTTTTCCAGAACATTTTAGAGAGGTTTGAGTTTGCTGTTACATCTTCTCTACTTTCAGTTCCAGCTTCCTTCCTCCAAATGAGAAAAATGATAGCCTTAAGAGGCCTATGCTCTATGCTTAGTTATGAAATTCTGAAAACTGCATAATGCTTTTCCCAACAGAAGGCCCCTTTGCTATTTGCTTTCAAGCCGTAACTTGCATTTTTTTCTTTTCTGAGAAGCCATATTAATTTCCTAACGATCAGTATATCATGTGTCATCTTCAGTTAAGATTGCCTTTATTGAAACTCTTGCTCACTTTCAAATTTAACAAACTGCCTCTGGAAGAGAATTTTAGAGTTTTATTTGTTCAGACTTTATTTCCTTAATTATTAAGGCCATATCTATGTTTTCATAATTTCACAGTTTCTCTTCTACTCTTCAGTGTAAAGGTTTAGTTCACTGTTTGTTAAGCCAATAGTTCATATCTATTAATTAGGCTATAAACAAAAATGAATCATATCTAATGACATTTTAAAAGAGTGTTATTCATATTATAAAAACACCTTTTGTAGTTATGATTAAACCAAAAGTAGAGAAAGTAATGTTTCTTCATGGTTTTGCATGTTTTGAGTATTGAGACTTGGGTAAAAAGTTTGTTTTTTAACTGTAGCATTGAATTTATTATATTTTAATTACTTTATGATAATTTTGAAATTTAGTTAGAAAAGGATTGTCATTTTTTTGCCTCTAAAATAGAATTAATGGTGTTCTTTTTTTTTTGGCAGCTACTTTCTTGGTGATAGAATTGCCATACTTCATATTTTACTTCTTTTATTATCTCTCCTTAGGCTATTTTCAGTTTTCTTTTCCAACATTCTCCTCTATAAAAAGCAGTTTAATTTTGATACTATTTTATAGAGTGTTAGGGCTCCATGTTTTATGTAATGCTTATAGTTTGCAAACTTGTGTTTTAAGATGACACAAAACCTACAAAGGATAATGTAAACTAACTTTATTCCTATGAAATTGCCAGTTTCTAAAATGCAGTTGCATAAACTTTTGAGTTTACAGATTGTGTTATTAAAGGCAACTTGCCAATTGATGTATGCTTTTCTAGAAATGGAAATTCCTGAAAAGTCTGTCGATAAACAAGTTCAAGAAGACAACAGAGGTCAGAGAACATTGCATCAAATCTCTTGTGGCTCAGAACAGAATCAGAAAGCAAGAACAAGCTTTGCAACAGATGGTGGCATGTCCCAGAATTCCGGGGCTCCAGTGAGTGACTGGAGTTCTGATGAGGAAGAGGGAAGCAAAGAAAGATCCAAGTCGAGGTGCACATCCACCCTTTCCAGTCACACGTCAGAGGAAGGGGTCCAGTGTAGCAGGATGGGAAGTGAAACGTGTCTGACGGCCTCTGACGACAGCAGTTCTGTATTTGAAGAAGAGACTTTTGGCATAAAGATACCAGAACACAAGAAGCTGTATTCTTGGCAACAGGAAGCACAATGGAAGGCTCAGAATAATCCCCTCGGAAAGGGTAATTCTCAGTCAAGTAAAAAGGAGCAAGGTAGTTCCTCAGATGAACTGAATAGGAAATTTCAGTCTCAGAGACTGGATTATTCCTCTTCATCGAGTGAGGCCAACACCCCAAGCCCTATTTTGACTCCAGCCTTGACTCCAAAGCATCCTAATTTATTACCTGGAAAAGGAACACAATTAATGCCTTCATCAAACCTGCCACCAAAGTTAAGGATTCCTAATGTTTTCAGTATCAGTGCAGCACTAGCCAAAAGGCACTTAAGCCAGCCACAGTTAAGTTCGGATAGGATGTTTGGTACAAACAGAAATGCTATAAGCATGATACGACCACTGAGACCTCAGGAAACGGATCTTGATCTAGTTGATGGTGACAGTACAGAAGTTTTAGAGAACATGGACACTAGTTGTGATGATGGATTATTTTCCTGTGACTCCCTGGAATCCCCATGTTCAGACGACCAGGAGACCTGTGACTTGGCAAAGAAGGCAGCGTGCAGCAAGCCTCCAACACCTCCCCTGCACCGGTTTCCCTCTTGGGTAATTATATTACTTTCTGCAACACGTACACAGTAGTTTTTTCTTGACACTCATTTTCAGGTTTTACTTTACTTCTTTTCCTATTCCTCTTAAAATTCAGCTTTGTTCTGCTAGTTCCCAGTTTTCAGAATATGATTTCCAAACTGATGGTTGTTGGAGGAACGAGGAGGTTCAATAAATAGCGCTTCTCTTTCCCCAGTGAGTTCTGAATCAATTGAGAAATAAGACAAGGGATAAGACAGATGGAAGATCAAAATATTACCTTTATCACTGATAAAATTTATTTTAGAGAATTGGAGGGCACATGGGCTTCCCAGTACTGAATCTCAGCATTAGCTAGATTTATTCACTCAGTCTCAGGCAGTGCTGCCCCACCACAGGCCTCCTTTGGTGAGGCCCTGCCCCACTAAAACATACGACTGTAGAGATGCATGTTTTTTGTAGGCAGCCACCTCTCAAGAGAGAGAAGAGAGGGAGGGTCTGGGCTCTGCGTGCCCAGTTTCTCCTTCCAAGCTCACCAATCACATGAAGCCACTCCTTTTCCTTGGGGAGGAGAAAGTGAATGGAGGGAGGGAGATCGGGAGTGTTGATTTATTGCAGCTCTTTCCACATGGAAGGAAATATTCTGTGTGTGTAGGGGGGATACTTAAGAGATGCTTTTGGGTGCATTTGGACCAGGGCACTTAACTCTTACTGGTCATCAGTTTTTTAACTTTTGAACTCTTGGCTTTAAGAGAAATTTAATTTTACTCTTCATGAGCATAACAATCCATTGCTTTACTAAAAGCATCTTCCTGTGTATCTAGAATATATTGAATCTTCCTTCATTGAAACACTAACCATTAGTAAAATAATTAACCCATCAGTGGTGTGATTCTTAGGAACATCTACATGGCTAGGTTCAAAAAAATTCTTCCTGTATTTGAAACAAAATGAAATGATCTGTTTGGCAGATTTAAGTTTCCTTCACATGTTGACATAATTTAACCTTTGGCTTACAAAGAAACATCTCGGTCACATTTTTTTTTTTTTTTTTTTTTGAGTCATATTCTGTTATTTTTTTATTTAGAGACTGATATAATTTTAAACTCCTAAATTAAGGCAGCTATATTTTCCTGGTATAAATTCAGACCTTGAGGTGTATCTGCTCTTATTTGCTTTCAAGGGAACATTTCAATTCAGTGTCCATATGAAACTGTAGTTTATCACATAATTCTGGCTGGTACAAAAAAGTAGACATTATTGGCATGCAAATCTCTGGAAAACTAATTACATTACTTCTTAGGCATTGAGAAGTTGACCTTTTACCTCTTATTATGTTGAGATTTTCAGGGGTTAGGCTCTCAAAGTCATTATATTTGGCAAACCATTTTACTACTTTGTTGCTCTTCTCTCTCGTTTTTCTGAAGCTGCTCAGGCTGAAAAAATGATACTGCTTTTCAAAAACCTTCCAAGTAGACTGGCACAGTTTAAGGTTTTATTTCTGAGTTTGTTAAACATTTTAAGGTTTCAAGAAAAAGAGATGTGTTCTAGTTACCTCACTAAGTTTATTTTGAGGGTTAGCCCATCCTGATTGAACTGGAATATCATTTAAAATACAACAGTTGCTCTAGTGGTGGGACAACATGTCTGATGGTTCAACAGCACCTCTGGTAGTTAGCTTCTTAGAAACAGGTGAACCCACTGCTCCTGCTCTAGTGTTTCAGCTTGTCCTCTCACATCTGCAGTGACTCTCTTTCTGCTTCTAACTACTGTCTCCCAGTCTCATGGCCCTGACTGCCTCATATTTCCTGCTTACCGTCTTTCTGTTTTGCCCACTCTTCTGTTTGTCTCTCTCTCTGTGTATCTCAATCACACTCTCGAAGAGATTGCATCTGACTTGTCCAGTCAGCCATTCTTCAGTGTATCTCTGGTAGACATCCCATGCCAGCTACCTCACAAGCTGCTGACTAGCCCAAAGGGCCTGTGTTAGCTTGCTCACTGGGCCCTGAGCCCGTCAACTGTGTCCAGCTTAGACACGGTACAAAATTTCAGGCCATGGTGATGTATGCATTAGGAACTACAAGGGGTCCCTTTACTCATAGGGAGCAAAGTTAATAGCCTTTCCAGTACTTGTTTCAGAGATCTCACAAAGAAGAAGAAAAACAAAAAACTTGTTGAGGTTGAGTCGATTCTGACTCATAGTTGACTCTACAGGACAGAGTAGAACTGCGCCATAGTTTCTAAGGAGCGCCTGGTGAATTCGAACTGCCAACTTTTTGGTTAGCAGCTGTAGAGAAAGCAAAATAACAGCCTACTTTGGGAACAAGATAATATTATAAATTCCCTTGCAATTCTCATTGTTTGGGATTCATTCATTGTTTGACCTCAGGTCCTTTTTTTGTACTTGAATGAAATGTTCATTGAAATAAAACCCAAAACCCACTGCCGTCGAGTCAATTCCAACTCATAACATCCTAGTAGGACAGAGTAGAACTGCCCCGTAGGGTTTCCAAGGCCATAATCTTTACGGAAGCAGACTGCCACATCTTTCTCCCGTGGAGCGGCTGGTGGGTTCAAACTACTGACCTTTGGTTAGCAGCAGAGTGCTTTACTACTGCGTCACCAGGGCTTCTTCATTGAAATAAGGAGGTGATACATGATTTCTGAGCCTTGGAAAAAGATTTACAGCCTTGGAAGCCCTATGGGGCAGTTCTACTCTGTCCTACAGGGACGCTATGAGTTGAAATCAGTTCAACAGCAGTGGATTTGGTTTTTTTGGATACGATTTCTGACTTCAAGTTTTTTATTTACCCGTGTTATAGATTGGTAGAATATTATAGGCAGTGTTTATGTGTGATCATTGATTGCGGATATGTCTCTTACTTTTTTTCTCATCTCTTCAAAAGAATTTAAAATACCAGACAAAAATTTGGGAACAAAGATACATAGCGGAAGGACTAATGGATGGAAAAGATTCTGCAGTGCTATTCACAATGGCTATTTGAGTGGACATTGGTGACAGTCTTGTAGTAATGCTGTATTCTAGTGAATATTGAATGAAGAACAAATGAAAAACGTGTATTGGAAGGAATCATTTTTTTTGCTTTAAATGCCCCATTCAAACCTTTCTTCTAGGAAAGCAGAATTTATGCTGTAGCCAAATCAGGTATTCGAATGTCTGAGGCCTTCAATATGGAGAATGCTAATAAAAGTAAGTGATTTTGTGTATATAAGGTTGCTGATTTATATTTTAAAATTGAAATTCTTTTTACTTGGCATATAGGGGCACATACATATTCAACTCTTACGTAAAGAGTGCCTCACTGTGTTTTTACCTGAAAGAGGCAAAAGCAACAAAACTGTAGAGCTTCAGCTGTTTAAAATTGTAAAAACATTTGTTTCTATGTCCTTTTTTTCCAGAGTTTAAACACATTTCCCCCTCTTTGTTTTCTTTCTTCAAAAAATTTTACAAAGCAGTCCAGGGACGAGGACTAGAAGGCAGAAGGGGACAGGAAAGCTGGTGATAGGGAACCCAAGGTTGAGTAAGGACAGTGTTGACATGTAGTGGGGTTGTTAACCATTGTCACAGGGCAACATGTGTAGTAACTCTTTTAACGAGAAACTGTTATGTTCTGTAAACCTTCATCTAAAGTGAGAATAGCAGCACTGTAGTGTCTTCTACCAGTCCCCTTCTTATCCTTCCCCTAAACCATGTATTAGAAGTAACTATTTTTTTCTTTTTACCTTTTTTTAAATTTATTTGATTTAATTTTTGGTGAAAATATACACAGCAAAACCTGTTTCTTTTCCACAGTTTCTAGACATAATGATCAGTGACAGTGGTTACATTCTTCACATTGTGTCAACATTCTCTTTGTTTCTGTTTTAGTTGTTTCACATCCATTTACTTAATCTCCCTGCCCCTCAGCCTTATCATCTATACTTTAAAATAGCTGTTGACCCTTTGGTCTTATGTAGATAATTTTTTTTTTTTTAATTCAATACTCAAGGGTGACAGTCTTCACTCTTTGGGTTAAACTGTTAGTTTAAAGGTCACTCCAGAGGATAGTTTCAATTAAAGGTTTAAAGAGCAACTCAGGGCAATAGACTTGGGGACTCCTACAGCCTCAGTAGGTCCAGTAAGTCTGGATTCTTTGAGAATTTGAAGTTCTGTTCCACATTTTTCTCCCTCTTTATCAGGATTCATCTATTGTGTTCTTGATCAGAATGTTCAGTAGTGGTAGCTGGGTACCATCTAGTTCTTCTGGTCTCAAGGTGGAGGAGACAGTGGTTCATGTAGACAATTAGTCCTGCAGTTCGGTTCCTTCTCTGATTCTTGGGTTTCCTTCTTTCTCTTTTGTTCCAGATAAATAAAGACCAATAGTTATATCTTAGCTATCTTAGATACAACTAAGCTTTTAAGCTTGTAAGCTTTTAAGACCCCAGACACTGCTCACTGTGCTGGGAGGTAAAATAAACTTTAAGAACTATATTATGCCAGTCAGGTGGATTGTCCCATGAGACCAAGGCCCTAAGCCCCCAAACCAAGAGAACTAATCCCATGAGGTGATTGGTTATGTCTAATTAGTATCAGCATCTGTAGGCTCCCCGCCTTCTTTTGGTTGTTGTTATTGTTACAAAATCATACACAACTTAGCATTTGCCCATTCATCCCTTTTCCCTATGTTCAGCTTATTGACATAGATTATATCAGTGATGTTGTACAAACTTCACCCATATTTAGTGCCACCTTTTCCATTTCTGTTGTGGAACCTGTGAGAGCCAGAACTTGACGGGATTGCCTTGTTTTTCTGGGTCTTGCAAGTTTTCCACCTTTGACAGGGTGCAGTCTTACCACTTTTCTATTACTCTCTTATTAGTGGAAAGTATTTGAGTTTTCCTTCTCTGACATGTTTCCATCTTACACAGGTTCTGGCTTTCACAGGGTTTTACTGTATAAACAAAAAGTGGCTACAACCTATAGAGTACTTCTCCTTCTCCTCTCCAATAACCACAAATGCACATTAGTTTCTGTATATTTACCTGTTCATGTCATTTCATAAAAGTGAGAACATACAGTGTTTGGTTTTTTTCACTCGACATAATGTCCTCCAGTTAATCCACACGGAAAGATGTTTTGGAAAGTCTTTTTTCTTAATCACTGAGTAATATTCTGTTGTGTGTGTGTACCACATTTTACGTTCCATTTATCCACTGATGGACACTTGAGTTGTTTCCATCTTTTTGCTATCATGAATAGTGCGGCAATGAACAGAGGTATGCATATGTCTCTTCATGTCACTTCTATTAGGTCCCTAGGCTGTATACCTAGGAGTGGAATTGCTGAGTCATATGACTGCTCTGCCTCTAATTTTTTTAGGAACTACCGGACTGTTTTCCACAATGGCAATTCCATTTTGCACTTTATTAGAAGTAACAGTTGATAGTCTATTCATTTTCAGCTGTCTTACCATTTAGGAAATTATATTCTAACCTTTCAACCTGAGGATCACATGATAAAAACTTAAGAATGAAGATGTTTTGACACCATATCAGTAATAGGGCTATGAATAATCAGAGAATATCTTTCTTTATATAGGGTGTTACTCACTTGGATCAGTTAGTCAATAAGCAGGTGTTTATACTCAATTCTGCCCAGCTTGAGCTGAGCATGGATGGAAATACCAAAGATATAAAAACTGTGATCCCTGTTCTCAAAAGCTTACGGTCTAGTTGGGGAGACTAGAATACTTGATGAAATAATGAACCATGTGAGAGAGTGTATAATTAAACTTGGAAATGCAGTAATTCATGATGTAGACTATATAATGGATAACCACCTTTGTTAATCCATTTTCTCTTTAATTGGAAACATTGCTAATTCACATTCAAAGAAAAAGGCCAATGTGCTAGTTAGAGGATTTAAATTTTTTTTTTTTTTTCCTGTTTCAGATTCTGTTGCAGTGCTTTCCTATACTACATCGGGACTTTATACATCGCTGATATACAAGAATATGACAACCCCAGTGTATACAACTTTGAAGGGGGTAACACATTACGGTTACTATTAAACATGTGGTTTTCTTCATAACGGATCAAGACAACTGTTTATTCAAACTCCAGATTCCATTGTTGACCTTTTACATAGCCTCTCCTTTTATAGAGAGTTTTAGAAGTTCACGCTAATATATCGTACAAACAGAAGAAATGGAAAGGTCTGGAGAAGATATTTATTCTTAACAGAGTATCAGAGGTCTGAGTCCGTTTTTGTTATGTCCTATATGATGTTTTCCCCCAGGACTGTTGTTTGAAAGAAACATATTATTAAGTGATGTAATGAAAACTCCTAATGTTAGAAAGATCTTTGTGCCAGTGCCAAGGTTACTGCCTTACTCACTTGAAGTAACTAATTAAAATAAAGATCGCCAGGTGCCAGGTGTTGGCGACCTTGTGTTTTCGGGAATCTTTTATCATTGACAGATGCCGTGCTAATTAGAATTGGGGATTTAACAACATAACTTCGATAATGGCAAAATATATTCTTGTATTCCTTAAAAAAAATCTTCTCCCGTGACTTCTTCCTGTAAGACATTCCCTACCAAAAGAGAGAGAGAACTTTAGAGATGGATACAGAGAGGCTATTCTGCTTTTCTTTAGAAGGCGACACAAATTAGCAGCAGCCCATTCCTGGATGACTCCTCTGGCTCAGAGGAAGAAGACAGCTCCAGGTCTAGCTCCCGGACATCCGAGTCAGATACGCGCAGCAGGAGTGGGCCAGGCAGCCCCAGAGCCATGAAACGAGGTGAGGAACATCTTAGACAGACAGATAGATTGCTGATGTCAAGTCTCCTCCAACCCCTGGTGACCTTATGTACAACAAAATGAAACATTGCCTAGTCCTCTGTCATCCTCACAATTGCTGGCACGTTCAAGTCCATTGCAATTACCGTACCAACCCATCTCACCAAGGGTCTCCTATGCGTGGTTGGCCCCCTGCTTGACCAAACATGGAGTCTTCCTCTATCAGTTGATCCCTCTTGAGGACGTGTACATAGCAAGTGAGTTGGACATTGTTGTGTTGTGATCCATAAGGTTTTCATTTCAGAAATAGATCTCCAGGCCTTTTTTCCTAATCTGTCTTAGTCTAGAAGCTCTGTTGAAACCTCCCCACCATGGGTGACCCTGCTGGTATTAGAAATACCATCGTGTAGCTTCCAGCATCACAACAGCATATAATCCACCATGGTATGACTGACAGATGCGTAATTCAGAATGATCTATTGACATTGTCCTAATATATCCTTAAAATGTTAGTAAGCACTTTAAAAAATTGCTGGATACTTTAAAGGATAATGACCTAGTTCTTGATTTTATTCAATATATTCAAAATTGAGTGCAAAACTACTTTAACAAATTTTATCTCCAGTTCTAGTTAGTAATCCTCCAAATGTGGCTTGAAACTTGCAAGAAGTTTTCTATGAAGACAAGTGAATTATTGTAAAAATGTGCCATTGAATATTACTTTATAGCTACTGACAAATAAAATAGTTTATATCTTTAAGTCTTATTGCTTCTGAAAGCTGTTAAAAATCTGTGAACTAGTTAGTGTTGTATTGGACTTATGTGAAAAATACTACTGAAATTATGCTGTTTGGAATTTTTTTTAATGTGAAGTTACTTTAAAAGTGATTACTGAAATTAAGTGGTTTAAAATGTGATTGTGCAAATCTTAATAAATTAAGATTCCACATATTTGCCTATATCAATATGTAAATACACATATCTTTAATTCTTAATAAAAGATATATTAGTAGACTATTGCTTATATTTTATATATGTAAAAATTGCTGTGGTTCTAATCATACCAAAATCTTTTTATTATTTATGTTCCTTTAACTTCTTTGGAGATTTGCATTAGCTATCACTATCCCTTAGTTCTATTTTCTGCTTTGAAAGTTTTTCATGGTGAAAAGCATGAGAATAAAACTAGTCAAGGAAAGCTGATGATTTAGGACTAGATGTATTCGTTAGGAGAACTAACAATCAGCATTTGAGCCACCCCAGTATTTAATGTTGCTGTGATTTATTTCCTTATTCTTTTAGGCGTGTCTCTCTCCTCTGTGACTTCTGAAAGTGACTATGCTATTCCCCCAGATGCTTACTCCACAGACACAGAATACTCACAGCCAGAGCAGAAGCTCCCGAAAACATGCTCGTCTTCCAGTGATAATGGGAAAAATGTAAACACTAAATCAGGTTTTTCTTTCTTTTTTTTTTGCACATGAATGAATCAGTTAGTTTGAGCCTTCAAAAGGAAACTTAAAATGTTTTTTTTTAATCTTTTTTAATTAGGAACCACTGGAAAAATCTGGTTATTTATTAAAAATGAGTGGTAAAGTCAAGACTTGGAAGCGGAGGTGGTTTGTTCTTAAAGGCGGTGAATTACTTTACTACAAATCTCCGGTGAGTATAAAGTGCTTGCTGCTTAGAACTGATTCCCTCCACCTATAAGTCAGACTCCTGGTTGATTTTCATCCTTGTAATGCAGCTAATAATACAAAGCATTTCTTTTTATTACTATTACAGGTAACCATTTTACACTTGGTTTTCTTTCTTTCATGCAGAGTGATGTAATTAGAAAACCCCAGGGCCATATTGAACTTAGTGCATCCTGCAGTATTTCAAGAGGAGATAACAAGCAAACAGTTCAGGTATATGTTTTTTATATTTTTAAACTCTCACTTAATTTTTTTGGGGGGAGAAGCATGTAAAACTCAACTCTTAATTAGCCAAGCTAATAGAGAGGAGATTGGATGAATCCATGTTTCTTTATTCAGCTGGGCTCAGATTGATGCCTCAAAAGTGTGTGAGGACCCCAAGATTTCTTAGTTAAACCATACTATAAGCTAAGTTTGTGTTGAGTAATTCCCCACTACACTCTGTTTACTCTTTCTTCCTTTATACTGTTCTTTCCTCATATTTGATTTCCCAGGTATTCGCAGCTCCTAAACTGCCAGGCTGTTTTAGGGGAGGGTTATCTGATAAATGAATTCCCAATTAGATGTTAGTAATTTAATGTAACATTAGATTCAGAAATGTTTGCATTTTAATACAGAACCGTAAAATGGCCGTTCTTATATGAATTCCGGATGCTCTAACACCTAAGTGGGAAAGATATTGGTGAGCTGAGAAGCTGTCCTAGGTCCTGCTGAGTCACACCATAGAGATAGCTGCTGCCTGTTTTACCCGTGCCTGAGGCCAGTCTTGCCAGAAACTTGTTCAGTGCAAGACATAGGCTGGGGAGATTATCTGGTGTATGTGATTTAGATTCAGACACTTTCTTTCTGAAAGGCCTTCAGTAATCATTCTTTTCTTATCTTGCTTCTTTGGAGGCTGGAACAAGAACTGCTGAAAATTTTAGAAAAGAGAATCCGAAAGACAGGCAAGAATCATTTGTAAGCTTCTGAAAAACTTGGAAAATTTGCAATGTGCTTAATTTGAGACTGGAAAATTGAGAGTTCATAACATCTGATCACGTGTTAGTTCCAAGAATATCTCTTCTTATATGCAAAGTTTTATTTCGAATTGATTTCTTCATTTCTGTAATAAATAACTTCTCTTTAGTTGCTAAAAATGTGTTCTTTTATTATAGTCTCCAATCATTCTGCTCTTCATTTCAACAACCAGGAGCCTGTAGCACATTTAAGGGCAAAAAGGCAAATGTGATGAGTAAACAAGATAAATCATAACTCAAAAGTTTAGTATTATCAAAAGTTTTTAAGTAGACCGAAGTGAAAAAAGCATTTCAAGAAAAATTTAAATATTGTAATTCTCACAAAGTGGTTGAAATAATCTAAATTATTATGGAGTCATATTTATTTAGAAGCTAGGATTCAGAGTTTGGCATGTTTGTTCTATGTTAATGATGTTTAAAGAATGGAAGAGGAAATGCTTATAATCCTAAATCTTCAGGATTTCCTTTCCTATCCTTTCTCATCTATTATAGTTGACCACTGAAAAACACACGTACTATCTGACTGCAGATTCTCCCAATATATTGGAGGAATGGATTAAAGTGTTACAGAATGTTCTTCGAGTACAAGCTGCCAACCCACTTTTTCTGCAACCTGAGGGCAAACCAACTGTGAAGGGATTGCTCACCAAGGTGGGAGCCTTATGTGTATATAGCAGTGTCTCAAGCAGCTGCTTGAATTAGCGACACTGATCACGAAAAGTGGGTGTAGGAGGATATGTGTATATTGACTATTTACATTAACTTGGGGTGAGGAAGGGTGTTTTAAGTATGATGCCAAAGACAAAAACCATAAAGATGAAAAATGACAAATTTGACTACCATACACAAACATATAAATGTAAACTATCAAAATTCTGTAAGAGAATTTTTAAAAGACAGGTGAAAAACTTCGAAAAGGTATTTGGAACGTGAAAAAAAAGTTAACTATCCTTGATATTTCACAAGCTTTAATTTTAATTTTCGAATTGGTGAGTAAAGGATGAATATGCACGGGCGAACGTGAACAAGGACATGATGAAAGAGAAGTAGTGATAGTAAAGATAGGCAATACCAGTGATCAGTAAGCGAATGCAAAGATGTCTTACTATCATTAATAATTTTTGTAAAACACAAGTTGAAATGATGGATATCAGTTTAAAAATTCTGGTCAAAGGGGAAATTTTTAAAATTATGAAACTTAGTATTCACACAGATTAAAAAATCTGCTTGTAAGAGTATTACCCTAGAAGGCAGTTTGGCAGTGTCCAGAGTGTTTGCTCAGTAAATATTTGTTGACTGTTCAAATGAATGAGTGAACAGTAAGTGTTTTGAAAACATATATATCCTTTGATCTAGCAGTCTCAGTTCAAGAAATTTATCCTTAGGAAATGGTCTTAATTTGCAAAAAAATTTTAATATAAGGATGTGCATCATAGAATGGCTTATTTTTGTTCCTCGTTTTTTTAAATGAGGCAGAATTTGTATACACTGAAATGCACAGATCCTAAACATAGAGTTTAATGAGTTTTGACATATATTTACACCTGTGTAACCTTTACTCAAGGAGCCGTGGTGGTGTAGTGGTTAAGCGCTCAGCTGCTAATTGAAGGGTCAGCAGTTCAAACCCACCAGCTGCTCTGTGAGAGAAAGATATGGCAATCTGCTTCTATAAAGGTTACAATCTTGGAAACCCTATGGGGCAGTTCTAACCTGTCCTATAGTGTCTCTATGAGTCGGAATTGACTCGACGGCAATAGGTAACCTTTACTCAATCAAGATAAAGAATATTTCCATTATCCCATAAAGATTTCTTGCACAGCATGGTTTATAGTAAAGAAAAGTTGGAATGAACCTAGAGGGTAGGGTAGAGTAGAGAACAGCTTAAATAAATTTTTATGCAATCAGTTAATGAAAAACTATGCAGCCATTAAGAAAAAATAGTCTCTTTTATAAGAATATTTAATGCTATCTAAACCAAAACTCATTGCCTTTGAGTTGATTCAGACTCATAGTGACCCTGTAGGACAGAGTGGAACTGCCCCATAGGGTTTCTAAGGCTGTAATCTTTATGGAAGCAGATTGTCACATCTTTCCCTGTGGAGCGGCTGGTGGGTTCAAACAGCCAACCTTTTGGTTAGCAACCTAGTGGTTAGGTGCTTAACCACTGTGCTTCCAAGGCTCCTTTCAATGCTATAGAAATACGTTATTATGTACAATTAGGTGATAAAATCAGCAGAGTGCAGTATTACGTTATTATCCCCTTTTTTGTTATATGTACTTATAGAAAAATGTCTGAATGGAAATATACCAAGGTATATTGATTGTGTGATTTTATTTTATTTTCGCTTAATTCTGTTATCTAACTTTTTAAGAATGAATAAGCATTGATTTATACTAAGATAAATATTGTTTTTAATTTTTATAAAGTCGGTCACTTTTAGAAAAACACAATAAAATATTTGCACACCCGCACGCACATACAAAATAGTAACTTCTCACTAATCAGTCATCACTCATATGCTTTGTTTATCTAAGGTGAAAAATTTAGATATAGAGGAGTTATGACCTTGTAATTTATACTTAGTTATAAGGTGGGAGTGTTGGTGGGTGCTATCCAGGAGTATTTTATTCACAGAGACTAACCAACTATACCAGAGTAAGGGAAAAAATTCATCAGTGCATTCAGCAAACAGATTATACTGTGTTTTTTTTCCCTGAAATATTACATTACCATGAAAATGTTTTCTCAGTTGCTGATTGGTTAGAGAGTTCCCTGGTGTTAGGCAAACATATTTTCCAAAAGACACAGCGCTACTTTAAATCAAATTCTTACCATAATTCATACTAATTAGTTTTTCTTTTGTTTTAAGGACCATGTATAACAAATCCTTAGAGTTTGATATGCTTCTGTGGCTAGGGTTCATCAGTTCTCCTGCAGTTAGTTTTTTGTTTTGTTTGCTTGTTTTTGCTTTATCAACATGGCACTGTCAGTTTCTGCTCATATTACATTTCTGCTATTCCCTGCTTCCTATTTTAGTTTAATTTTAAATGAGTATAAGTTAATGTGATTTTTAGGTGACTAAATCATTAGGGTTTATAGACAGGATGCTTATTAGATTTCCTTCCTACCACTTGTGAAGGCTTGTCCACCCCCATATTTTCACTGTCAGAGCCTTATAAGAGAAAAGTGTCCCTCAGCTATTCTGAGTGATGTGTTCTGAGCTCATCTTCAGGTGACTATTTGAAATACTGTAGAGCAGCATTTAAATACTTTGGAGGGGAGGAACTTTTTTCCAGTTGTCAAATTAACATTATTCTTAATTTTTTTTATTTTATGTTATGTAAGTGTCAATTACTAGGAAAAGATGAAGAAAGTCACACAGTCTAGTACGAAGCATAAGAAGTTTCTTGGAGTGAGCAGAAAGGGAAGAAGGGTAAACCTGAAGATTTTCATATTAAATCCACAAAGAAAATGTCTGTACAGACATACAGATGAACATTTGAACCATAAAAAAGTTATAAAAGTGACATTAAAGACGATGTGTATGCAAATGTTTCATGGTCTAACATAGAACTGTAAGACCCATGAAGAAGTATTTGTAACAGAAAATGTCAAGAATATTAAGAACTTGACTAATTTGATTCTGGATGTTCACTCTTACAATTTTTATCTTAATGCTTAGGGAAAACACTTCTTTATAATTTTTTTTAAAGAAAAAAAATAATAATGAGCAGTTACTACATACCAGGCAAGGGGCTGAAGGATATTAAGATGGATAGGCCGTTACAAGGGTTAGACCCCATCCCTCAGAGAATGTTATAAATCATATTCATAATGATGTGAGTAAAGTGCAGTTATTATGATATAAGAATACCAAACCAAGTCCTTCTCTACTGAGTCAGTTTCAACTTGTAGTGGCCCTATAGGACAGAGGGTTTCCAAGGAGCAGCTGGTGGATTCAAACTGCCGACCTTTTGGTTAGTAGCCGAGCTCTTAACCACTGCACCATCACAGAGAAACCTAATTAAGGCTGAGAGTTCAGGGACAACTTCTCAGAAAAGATTTACCCGTGCTGAGTCTTCACGGAGGAGTAGGAGTTATCTACAGAAAATGGGAGTGGGCAGGAAAGGTAACCCGGGACAGGAGACAGCATGGGTAGTGGCACAGAATCTTGAAGCTGTGTTGCCAATGCTGGGAACAGTCCTTTGGAGAAAAAGCTGGAGGGGCTCAACCATGGAGGGCTTTTTTTGTCTTAAGCGCTTTGGTCTTCATCCTAAAAGTGTGTGCAACCCTTCAGTGTTTCTAACAGTCAGTGGCAATATTCATATTGTTAATAGATTACTCTGCTGATGGACTTGTTGGGGGGCAAGATGGAGGTTGTGAGGACAGTTGGAAGGAGTGGTTTGTGTAAACGGGATGAGACTCTGAACTGGTCATAGGGAAAGAGGAGAAGATGAATTTAAATAATGCTAGGAGGTAGATTTATCAGTTTGAAGATGGATTGAATTTGGAGTTAGGAAGCAAAAGAAATAAGGATGCCTGATTGAAAGGTGGTATTGATAAGAGAGAGTTCAGGAAAAAAGAGTTTTACGAGGATGATTAGAAGTTTATTTTGGCTCATAGCAAGTGAAGAGATTGAATCAATAATCAGAAACATCCCAATACAAAAACTGTCCTGGACTAGATGGCTTCACTGGGGATTTCTGCCAAGTATTTAAAGAAAAATTGGTACTAACCCTTCTTAAACTCTTCCAAAAAAATAGAAGAGGAGGGGACACCTCCTGACTTGTTCTATGAGGCCAGCATTACCCTGATATACAAAAATCCTCAAGAAAATACTAGTAAACCAATTTCAACATATTGAAAGGATTATACACCATGACCAAGTGGGATTTATTCCAGGAATATGAGTAGTTCTTTATTTGAAAATCAGCCAGTGTAGTACACCAGATTAATAGGACAAAGGAAAAGAACCACATAATCATCTCAATTGATGTAGAAAGGCATTTGACAAAATCTAACACCCTTTTATGTTAAAAACACTCAACAAACTGTAAATAGAAGGGAAATTTCCTCAAGATGATAAAGGGCATTTATGAAAAGCCCACAGATAACGTCATACTTAATGGAGAAAGACTGAGAGCTTTCCCCTTATGATCAGGAGCAGGACGATGGTGCCTACTCTCGCCACTGCTATTCAACATTGTACTTTAAGTTATATAAAGAACAATTAGTCCAGAAAAAGAAAGAAAAGTTATCCAAATCAGGAAAGAAGTAAAACGATTTCTGTTCTCAGATGACATGATCTTATGTATAGAAAAATCCCAAAGAACCCACAAGAAAGCTACTAGAGCTGATAAATTCAGTAAAGTTGCAGGGTACAAGGTCAACACACAAAAATCAGTTGGGTTTCTGTACACCAGCAATGAGCAATCTGAGAAGGAAATTAAGAAAATTTCATTTATAATAGCATCTAAAGGAATAAAATACCCAGGGATAAATTTAACCAAGGAGGTGAAAGGCTTGTACACTGAAAACTATAAAATATTGTTAAAAGAAATTAAAGAAAACCTAAATAAATGGAAAAACATTTCATGCTCGTGAGTTGGAAGACTTAATATGGTTAAGATGTCAATATTAACCAAAGCAA